TTGCGCTCGCCGCCAGACAATCCGCGGACGTCCGTGGCGCCGCCGATCTGCGAGTCGCGGCACTTGGTCAGACCCAGCTCGTCGATCACGTAGTCCACGCGGGCCTCGCGCTCGGCCGCGTTGAACGCCTTGCCCATGCGGAGCTCCGCCTGGAACATCAGGTGCTCCTTGACCGTCAGCGTCGCGTAAAACACGTCGTCTTGCATCACGTACGACGCAAATCGATTCGTTTCGTTTGACCACGGGAGTCCGTTGACGGTGACGGAGCCCGTGTACCGCGGATTGCGGCCAGCGATGATGTCGAGAAGGCACGTCTTGCCGGCGCCGGACGGTCCCATGATGATGACAAATTGGCCGGGCGCGGCACTTCCGTGCACATCGCGCAGGATCAGCTTGTCCGAGATCGTCTTCGTCGTGGGGTCTTTGGCCGGCACGCTGAATGACACGTTGGCCCACTCCACAGACATCTTGGGCATCGACGGGACTGTGTGGCTAGCACGAGGTGAATGAACCTCCACGAAATGCGACTGCTTGTCCATAGCGAATGCAATTGTGTGCCTTGGGCCACCCTTGACGTGGCGCGGTGTGGTCGCTATTACGGCGCCAATGAGATGACGACGGGGCGAGATGACAGAATTGATTCACGACCGACTAAAGAGGATCTCATGGTTGAAGGTGTTTTTGCCACGACCATGCTCTGTTTGTACTGGGAAGACTCGACGGCGTTCGTGCACGCGAGCGGGCTTGAAAAGAGTCCCAAAGAGAGTCCTTCAGATCCCCGTCGACAGATGCACTGCGTTGGTGCGCGCCACGGTGGGGGTGCGTGCGCTCATGATGCCTCGGCATTTCTTCCGGCCTCTGCGTGGTTTTGTGCTGTCATGACATTTCTCGCCAACGATGTGGGGCACTGGACTCCGTGTTCGCATTCCCCCACCACAACGCTGGCCTAGATATAACCTTCGGCGCCACAGGAGTAATCTGCCCTTCCCTCGCTGTCATCTCCACGATGAGGCACATCGAGCAGTGTCGCGCGTGCCATCGAGTCTGTGAACGCTACAGTGAACCCTAAAAAATGCCGACCACCTCCAAAACATGATCTGATATAAAAAATTCTGCCACCTGTATACTTAGATACCAACACACTGTCAGAAATGCCATTCCTTTTGACCAATTGCAGTGCAGATACAATTAGAACTGTGATTGACTGACTGAAATTCTTCTAGTTATAGCCAATCAAGTTGTACGCATTCACAGAATTTGAATATATTGATATTATTCTGCATCCACGCATTTTCAGGATGAAACCATGTCGGCTTTGCCCGGGGTTCACTGTAGGCGAGGCTGGACTGCGGACAAAGCACAAGCCAGTCCTCTTCAGCTCGATCTGGTCCCAACTAAAGGGGGGACGGGAATGGAAGGGTCACCGTCATTCATCGGGCGAGCTCGACTTGCGTCAAAGCGCATGCCATGTCGTTTTGGTTTGGAATGAAGTATCACTTCCATGAAAGAAATAAGTTTTGACAGGCAACTTCTTCGAAGTGATACGGATTATTTTGGTGTCGAATTTGTATCACATAAGTGACAAAAACGAAAGAAATGACATTTCAGGCGAGGCAGCGCGATGACCTGCATGGCCCCGCCGGCACGAGAGAGTTCGCGGCTTGCTCGACCAAGGGGGGAGCTCTGCATGGAGTTGAGTACGTGCTCCTGACGTCGAAAGGCAGTGAAGCCTTTGATCGGGCTTACTGCACTACGTTTGGGCAATTTCGTTTCACGTTCATATACGAGAACTAAACGGTGGCCTCATCGACGTGAACCAAGTGACGAAGCAAGTCGACGGTCATCCAGAGGCTCGCGCGCGAGGGCCGCACGTTCCTGGCAACGATCCACCAGCCGTCGTCCGACCTCTTTACGTTGTTTGACCAGTTGTACCCATGCGCTGAGGTGGCCACGAGGCCGTTGCGTCCTTTGCGTCGCAGGGGCTGCCGTGCCCGACGTACATGAACCCGACCGACTACTTC